GAGGAGAGGGGTTATGGCATGACCACACCCCTTGGGGGGTGCTTTCTTCTTGTTTCTCTCTGGTGATCACACGTGACCTCCGGCAAACAAAAACCTTTAGGAGACAATGTTAGAGAACATTTTTATGAAGTTGGGAGAAGGAAATAATTTTTCCCCCTTTTTAGGTTTTTGCCATAGGGTACATGCACTTGCTGGAGAGAGACAGAGGGAGAAAGGGAGAAAGTGAGAAATCACCTCCCCAGGAAAATGGCCATGCCACAATCCCTTCACCTCTATTCTCCTCTTGGAATTTAGTGCATGCACACATATGGGCCTCATGTGATATTCAAGCCATGGGGTCCAGGACTTGAACCATGGTTCGCCATGCGGAAGTCCAGCATCTTAACTACCATGCCACCTGCTGGCCCCAGGGAAGAAATCTTTAAAAATGCTTTTCTTTTAATTAACAATAATATATGTGCATGCATGGGAGAGAGAAGGAGAGAGAGAGACTCACCCTCCACTGGGTCTCGTTATGCTGCAATCCCCTTTTCCGCAGCCCTCCAGGATGTTTTTGGGCCAGTCTGGGGATTCAAACCTATATTGGTCAAGTGTCTTTAGTTCTGCAGTTCACACTGTGCAGGACGTGCCAGCACGCTGGGCTGGGAAGGAATTCTTAAGCATGACTCAGTCAAAAAACACAAGTCTTTAGGGAAGAAAAATTAAATTTGACAACAATGAATACAATTTTTTTTATTCAAATGTCACAACTTATTAAAAGATGTCCCACAGACTGGAAGAGAACAATACATTGTCTGTAGCAATTTGAGTATGGAAATCAAGACATACAAAGAACTTCTTGGAATCAAGATAAGAGAAAGGTGGGGTCCAGCAGTTGGTTTAATGACTATGTGGCTGGACTCCCATGTAGTCGACCGCAGTTCGAGTCCCGGACCGGGTGGCTTAAACTCACACTGGGTGCATGTGCGTGCGTGGCCAGGATCCTGAGAGGAGACTGGAGGAGAAGGGATTGTGGCATGACCATCCCTCCTCGGGGGTGATTTCTTGCTTTCTGTCTCTCTGTCTCTCTCTGTCTTTCTGGCAAGTGCATGCGCCCTATAGCAAAAATCTCTCAAGAAAAAAAACAAAACACTGAAACAAAACAAAACAAAACAACAAAACAAAACAAAACAATGTCTGCTGGCGCACTGCTGGGTTGGGGTCGTGTCTTCCAAATCCTGAGGCCTGAGGTGGAAAGAGGAGCTGCTGGCCCTGAATGGCCTGGGGTGAGCACCAGGGCTGCTGTGAGGGCGATCCTGGGAAAACGAAAGGATGACGGGCTTTCCAACAGGCCGGGCTGGCCACGGTGCGGAGGCCGCTGCCCGAAGGACCGAGCTCCCTGTCAGCGGCAGGATGTGAGCAGGGCCTGGGCAGCGGCTTCACGCGTGGGGAGCCAAGCGTCCGCGTCTGAGGTGCAAGGGCAGGGCAGAATCAGATGGCTGTAGGAGGCCTCGTGCTTCTGTGATTCAGTGGGTTTGTGAACTGTGGTCACAGGAGGACAGGGCTAAATGAATAATCAGATGTGACACACCCAGGCACAGAACACTGGTCACAGGCGAGGGATCAGGCACGCACACGCGGCAGGATGGGACGCTCACAGGGCGCCACATACTGTGTGACTCCGTCCATGCGAATGTCTAGGAGACGCAGAGCAAGCCATGCTGGCAGAAAGCAGATGGGAGCTCGTGGGTGTCGGGGGCATGGCGGGGAGGCAGAGGAAGGGACGGGCTGCACATGGGTGCAAGGACACTTCCAAGGTCCTAGGAGTGTTCCGTGATGTGCCTCTGTATCTCGACTGTGTGGAGGTGTCACGGGTGTGCACCTGCAGAAATGAGTGGAATTGTGCACTCACGGATGCAGCTGGACTCATCTGTTGTTTGCAAATTATACCCCAATACTTAAAAGATGGAGGGGAGGAAGGATGGAAGGAAAGAAGGAGGGAGGAAAGGAGGAAGGAGGAAGGAGGGAGGAAGGGAGGAAGGAGGGAGGAAAGAAAGGTGAAGAGACCTAGGCCAGAGGTCAGGGCTGCCACGTCATGGCCTTGCAGCCTCAACTTCCCCACCTGTGAACTGGGAGGACGGGAAGGACCCAGGCTCCCTTCCAGTGGAGTGGCGGTGCGTCCTCCTGGCAAGTTAGCGGGCCTCTGGGGGCCTCAGTCTCCTCCTCTAAAATGAGGGGCCAGCGGGGGCCAGCAGCCGTCACATGTGTGCTCAGGATGGCGTTGGCCACACCGCCGAAGCCGCTGTCCTCCCAGGCCCATGCCCACCTCGCTGCTCCCACCCAGGCTGCTTCACTGCCCCATCTCACTTTCCTGCCTATCCCAGCCTGTCCACACAGCCCCAGGATCACCTGCAGCTTGGGGACATCCCAAGGGAGTGGCTCTGGGGCTCCTGCGTCATTCTCAGAGTGGGTGGAGTTCAGGGGCAGCTCTCTGTTCCCCCATGGCTCGTGCCCGCTGCACACCAGCCGTGAGCTCTGTACCCCGGCAGTGCGCGATTGGTACGTGCAGAATGGAGGGCGCTAGTGTTCTCTACCCGGCAGAGTTTCTCGCTTGGGTTCTTTCTCCTGGACAAGCGGCTTTCTCGGGGTGGACAGCAGTGCAATTTGGGGGCACCAGTGGTTGAGCGATTTCCTGCAAACAGAAGCTAAGGCCTGTGGGGACAAACGAGGGCTAAAACCCAGTTATATGTGCTGTGTTCCCAGCGGCCACATGGTTGGCTGTCTATCTCCAGAGAGGTGTGTATGCCTTCCTTTTTTCTTTTTCAAAATAACGGTTTTATTCTGGAATAATTTTAGATTTACAGAAAAGTTGCAGCTAGTAAGGTGGCTCCCATACATGAATCCTTCACTCCGTTTCTTCCTGCGTTAATATCATTCACATAACTATAGCCCATTTGTCAAAATAAGACATGAATACTAGGAGGCCAGCAGGTGGTGTAGTGGTTAAGGCGCCAGGCTCCCACATGGTCGACCGTGGTTCAAGTCCTGGACCCGATGGCTTGGGACTTGCACCTGGTGTGTGTGCATGTGTACCCAAAATCCTGACAGCAGAGTGGAGGACAGGGGTTGAGGCATGGCCATCCCCCTGGTGGTGGTTTCTTGCGTTCTGTCTCTCTGGCAAGCGCATGTGCCCTATGGCAAAAATCTCTTAAAAACAAACAAAAAAAAGAGAAATGAATGCTGGAACCCAGCCTAAGTGGCTCAGGTGGTGCCACGCGGAACCGCAGGGTGGCAGCCATGTGGTCAATTGGGGGTTCAGGTCCCCAAGTCAGCCTGAAAACACACTAAGGGTGCTGGAGAGCCTGGGGTGCTGAAGGGCTTGGGAGTGGGCGTGGTGGAGTGAAGAGACCCCGCGAGGGCGCGACTCCCTGTCTCTCCCTGTCTCTCCCGCACTCACACAGTCTCTATCATACATTTTTAAAGAGACACTAATCCGGTACAAGACTATTAGCTAAATCCAGGCTCGGCTTGGATTTGACTGCTTTCCCCACTAACAGTCTTTCCCTGTCCTGGAATCCAGTCCAGGGTCCCACCCAGCTGTCAGCACGGGGGGGCTTCTCAGGCGATTAGAGGCTGTCTGGGGACTAGGAGGGGGTGGGAGAGGAACAGGCTCTCAGGGAGAATCCCAAATGAAGTCTTTAGGTGCCCTGCTGAGGGGAGCCGAGGGTGGCCTTTGGGGACCCCTGCATTCCTGGCCCAGGCAGGTCCCTGCCTGTGCTTCACTGTGTCCGCTCGGCCCGTGCTCAGCGGAAAGCCGCTGGGGCGCTGGCAGGTTTTAGTCACTGACTTGCCAAGTGCCGGGTGGGTCATGGGGGAACCTGTGTTTCCCCTTGCCCTATTGCTCGCGTGAGCTGCCCTGGGAGCGTCCTGGGGGCAGGTGCCTGGTGGCGATCTTGGGCTGTGGGGTGGGAGGGGCGTGTCCACCCGCAGGCCCAGCTCTCTGCACCCTGCCGCGGGCCTCTGGCTTGTGCTGGGTGGTGGCCGCTGGCTCTGCCCCTCCACTGCTGTGCTTTCTCCCTGGAGCTGTGAGGTGCTGGGGTGGGGAGTGATGGTTGTCGACAGTGAACTTGAAGCCTAGGGAGCCTCAGTTTTCTCCTCCGACTCAACCCACAGAGGCCTTGTGGCTAAGACGGGCACGCTCTCTTGTGAGCTGTGGAACGCAGGCTCTGTCGCCAACACCGCAGCTGGGGGGCCAGAAGAGCTTGGTGTCCCCTGGCCCTGGGGTTGATTTCAGGCGAGGGGGTCCCAGTGAGTCCACTGCTTCTGCCTCAGTGAAATGGCCTCAGTTTCTACGTCCAGGGCCCAGGGCCCACACAGGGCACTGCCCACTTCCTTTCTGTCTGCACTTCTCTGTCAGCTGCCACCTCCCCCTTTCCTGCCTCACCCCCCTCCGCCTACATCTCTGGTCCTTCCACCGGGGACCCACACAGGTCCTCGCTGGGGGAGCTTCTGTATCTTGCTCCTGAGTCCCACCCGGAGTACCCTTTCTCGGGCACCAGGATTCAAGTGCCAGCTCACATGCCAACTTGCGGGCCCCAGATTTCCCTCTCGGTAGCATCGAGAGCCCTCTCTGGAGATCCCTTGTGGCCCCAATCACCTCCTGCCTGTTCTGGGGCCACCCTGCTGAGGTAGTGCCTCCGCTCCACACAGACTGGTGCTTGGGCTGGGTTGTCTCTTGCATCCTGGAATTGCAGGTGCCTGGAACCGTGGCCGGCGCCCCAAGGCCCTCTTCACACCCCTGTGCTTAGAGCAGAGGTGACTGAATTCTTGGAGAACCACCCATCTCTGCCCTGTGGACAGGAAGCGAGTTCCCCAGGGAAGGGCATCCCAGGCCTCCTCCTACTGCCCATGGCAGGGTGCAGCGGGGTGCCAGGGCCCAGCTCAGCACCTGAGGCCCCCAGTGCTCCCCAGACCGCACGCCCCGCCCTCTGCAAACGGCCGGGGCAGCGGCTTGAGCAAGTTCCCCTTCCGCTTCCTCCTGCTTGGTCCCGCGGCTGCTGCTCCTCTGTGGGGCGCCTCGCCAACCTCGCCAACCTCCAACCTCTGCTCCAGGGTGCTCTGAGACTCCAGCTGAGCTGCCACCACTGCCCTCTGGGCCCCGGACACAATGCAGGCCATCAAGTGTGTGGTGGTGGGAGATGGGTAAGAGCCCGGCTGGACTCCCCACGGCCCCGCCGCGTACCCCCAGGACCATCCTGCTTGCAGACGGAGGAGTCCCTGGAAGGCAGTGGGAAGGAATCGGTTCCTCCTCCCAGGGCCCAGAGGGAGCACCCTGGGATGCACAGGGACAGGGCCACTCTCCTTAGCCTACAGTACCAGGAAGTGGCCTGGGGGCGGGAGGGTGGCGCCCCAGGAGCTGAGGGTAGGTTCCCAGGGAGGAGCAGAGCCTTAGTCTTCAACTCCGTGGATGCAGGTGGGAAGTGGGGAACCCAAACGTTGGCCTTTGTCCCCAGGCTGACCTGGACATAAGATACTGTCTTGGTGCTGCTGCGCGACTTTGGGCAAGTCACAGCAGCTCTCTGAACCTCAGCCCGACCCTCTGGGAGAAGGCCTTGGCCCCAGGGCCGCTGTGTTGGTGGCGTCTTGCTTGCAGTGTGTGTTCCACATATTGCCCTCCTCCCCCGGCCCCTCTCTCCACCTCCCCGGAGCCCACTGGGTGGGGGAGGATAAGGGGCGGGGGTGGAAGCAAGTAGCAAGGGCAGGGTATATTGAGAGACAGGGAAGGAGGGGAGGAG